TGCAGTCTTGTAGACCCACAACCGCAACTGCAATATCCTTGGATACAGAGTGCTCCGCAATATGTACGACAATATGATTCAGAGCACCGTATACGACAATCTGCAGTTGTGTCACAATCTCCGTTGACTTTGCACTCATTGCCATATCGTATAGCAACAATTTGTGATGTTAAATCTGATATTAAAATAATATAAAAAGAGAAAAATAAAATCTTATAAGCAAAATGCTTTTTTCAAAAATAATTAAAGCTAATCATAATCAAGACGCAGAAAGAAGAAAGTAGAAGGATTACCGGACGTAACCAGAAATAAGAACATAAAGAAGACCAATTTAAATGAAACAGTCGCCATTCTTTCTTGATGTTTTTGCTGTAGGTAGTATGATCTCTAATAGAGATTTTTGTGTCTAAATGTTTCTTTCGTCTCTGTTTGGGAGAAGAAGCCATGTTATGTACCAAATTTATAGTTGCAGTTATTAATTATTATCCATTTTAATGATAAAATATTGATCATATAAAAGAAGAAAAAAAATCAAAGTGTTGGCATATGTTGAGAAAATACTACATCCTCTTTCACAAGAAATATATGTTCAACCTTTGGTTTCCAAGCTTTTATATTTGAAGTTTTGATGATTACAAAGCATTAATAAACTGCTTAACATGGATGCATAAATTAGAAGGTAGTGTAACAAATCTTAAGTGAAGTTAGAAGATCAAGACAACATGCAAACGTGAAGAAATAATTCAAATGTGCAAAGTGAACATCAAAGTCAAAGTTTTCAAATGAAAAAAAATTCAAGAGTATATTGTTTTTAATGTTAATTAGAGTCTTATTAATGTTGAGAATTGAGTTTATTGAGCTATATCTCTCTAGATTACATTTAGAAGCATAAACTCATGTATTGACATACAAGTCTTACACACATGGAAATTAAGAAAAGTAAAAGTAAAAGTTTTATTCTTAATCCAAATAGGATTTTTTAAAATTTAGTTCTTGATTTGAAAAAGAAAAGGTTAATTTGAGATTAATTTCATTTTTAATAATTTGATTAGATTATGTTTTTGAATTGAGATTGATTTCCTTTTTAAAAGATTTGATTTGATTTTTTTTATTTAAAAAATAAAAATTTAATTTGAGATTTTTCCATTTTAAAAGATTTGATCTGATTTTTTTTATTTAAAAAAGAAAAAGTTAATTTGAGATTGATTTCCTTTTTAAAAGATTTGATTTGATTTTTTTTATTTAAAAAAGAAAAAGTTAATTTTAGATTAATTTCCTTTTTAAAAAATTTGATTAGATTTGGTTTTTGATTTGATATTGATTTCCTTTTTTAAAGATTTGATTTGATTTTATTTAATTTTGGAAAGTTTATTTGAAGATTTTAATTTTATTTTCAAAAAGATATTTTGGAAAGTTTTCTTAAAAAATCATGATACAACATCTAGTGCATATATCTAGAGATTCTTCCAAAGGATTTGATTCGGAGAAAAAGTCTATAAATACCATACCATAAGTTCTTTTTGAGAATGAAGAGAGCATAAGAGAGAGTGAAAAAAACTTGAGAAATCCTTATGTGGTAAGAACATCATATAGGACATATGTTTAATATCTAGAGAAAGAAAGCTCTTTAATTCTTCTTCTTCTATTTCTTTGTAATTTTGAATTTGGGGAGGTTGTTTTGCTATGATTGGTTCAATTAGAGTGATCTTAGGGTAATAGGTTAAGAGTGATCAAAGGGTTGATCCAGTGACGGACCTAGAGAATTTTATTTATGTGTGCACATTTAGGGGTAGGGTTCGAAGGCGAGGCTCCCAAAAAAAAATTTAATTTTTTTTCAAATGTATTAAAAAACAAAAGAATATAAACAAGAAAACTTCAACTTAGCATAAAAAATAGTAATCAAGAGTCAATTAAGTTGTTACAATAGAACAATTACAAAAATACTCTTCGATTCTTCATTCCTTGAAAATATTTAATTATATTTTCATCATCAATCTTATCAATTTTATTTGGGAAAAAGTATTTGTCATTTTAAATGACCTAAAGTTATATCATTTTAAGAGAGAGAGAGATGTACAAAATAAAAAAATTTATTTAAAATTTTATCTAAAAAAAAATCACCAACTTTCTCCCCCATGGTTTTCATTCCTTGTGTCTATCTCTCTCCTAAAATGGCATAACTTCTGTCATTTAAAATGACAAACATCAAACTCTTTTATTTGTTAGTTGTTTCTTAGGTATAATCGGGTCCATTTGCTGGTTAGGGTTATATAGAAAAACAGATATTGTTTATGATGATATATTGAATATTGCAAATATTTTTCATGCTAATGTTAACATTTAATACCGAATCCAAATAAATTTAAAATTAAATAATCGAAAAAGAAATAGTCAATTAGAAAAAAAATGTAGATATATATAAAGAAAATAAATAAATGAAATATTAAAAAATGAGTAACAAATTATTTTAAAAAAATTTCTTATTCAAAAACGAAAGTCTCTATGAAAGTGGAATAATATTTTATTAAAAAAACCTCCTTTTCTATTTCGCAAAAAAACAAAGCCACCTCCCACTTTATAAACAAAACCTCCTGTGAAAAAAAAAATTCCCACAAATTTATGTCTGCAAGTGCAGACAATTGCACACATGTGAGTCCGCCCCTGGGTTGATCACATTCTTGTAAAATTCTAAGTGAGATTTGGTTCAAGGGGAGTGTTCCTAGGGTTTAGGTTAAAGGTGACCAGGTAGATCCAGCTCTTGTAAAATTTCTCTTGTAAAACAATTTCTTCAAGCACCGGTTGAAATCTTGATGATAATGGAACGACCGGCCTCAGTCTGGATTAGCTCTCGGTGGTGGAGAGTAAAACAGGCTACATCGCGGTGTTATCTTCTCTTCCCTTATGTTTTAATTTTCTGTTGCATATTAATCTTCTTTTATTCATTAGAATTTGTTTAAGGGATTGGAAATTTTTGTTAATTATTAAATCTCTCTTGCATGCTTTCTAGAAAAAGCATTTCTCTGGTCGATTTTCACAGTATTTCTCTTGTCACGTCCGCCATCTTCATCTCGGTCACTGCGACCTATGTTCCTGTCTTCACGAACATCGTTTTGGCTGCGGTTGTTGCGGGGCTCATTGACATCTCGGATTTCTGAGGGGTCCTGTCTTTGATGTCCCCCCCAATTCGCCGAGCATTGACATTCTGATTTATCATAACGCCCTCAATTTGTTCTAATCTTTGAGCATTCTTGTTCTGTCGAGCTAATGCTCTGTTTTCCATCTCGATGAATCTCTGCCTGTGGAGTTGCTGCCGAGCCATAACTCGATTCTCCATCTCTTGCATACGTCGAAGAATCTAATCAAGGGATGTCTCATATATCTGGTTGACTCTCCCTTGGGCTGTCAAAGGTTGAGGTGGGTGTGATGTCTAGTTTGCAATCTGGTTATCCGCCACAAGAGTTCATTCCAGTTGAGGTCAGAACGGTGGCTGGTTAGCCATCCGAACTACCGCCTCTAGAATTATCAGGTCATTATGGCAGGTTTCCCTAGTGTTGATCTGAGCTCTTCATCCTCCACCTGTACCTCGACCAAAATAGGATTTTCATCTTCCCCTTCCTGGAGTCTCTCAATCATAGCCTGTTGGTGAGAGGGATGGGGATTATTTACTCTGCTTCGTGTATTCACCATTGTGGAGTGGGAATCGAAATTTACCGTTTCCCACATATGGCGCCAATATTCGGCACTATTAAACTGAATAAAGATACCTCTAGGGTATGCACTCAGAGATATCTCAGATGTAGATATCGTAGTTGGCTTAGCCAATCTCTCAATCAGTACGCACAAATAATAGGCTTATAGCCAAGACGTGAGTGTGTGCATAGTGTGGGCAGGAATGAGTAAATGAGTTCAAAGTATATACCTGGGGGTCTTCAGCTTTTTATTTATAGGGATTACCTCTAGGACTTGGACTATGTAGATCTCCCAATTGGTGCAGGATTCAACTTCTTATTTGTAAGGATAAGGGTTTTATCCCTTTATCTTTGTTCTGTTAAGATAACTTGTGTCATTTATCCATTAAGCGGTACATGAGATAAGCGATTAAGATATGGATATATTCCATAACAATAACGATTCCATTTCAAAATCGATCGTTACAGTTGATGATTCCAATGGTCGTTACAATATAATACATAGATAGATAGATACGGACAAAGACGTGAAATTGGGCGCGCGTAGTCTCACGCGTGCGATTTTATTCTCTCTGTTAGGGTTGCTAGTTCGTGACGAACGCTGAGTATAAAAATCAAGATCGGAGATGGAGACGGTTGATGATGGCTCGAAAGGGGTGAGAGAGCGTACGTCTGAGGAGGAGGACTTGATTCAGAGGAGTGTGAAGAAATCGAAAGGTGCTGTGGTAGTAGATGAGCATATGGACGATGAAATGCTGGAGAAGCTGGATGATGGGGTTGTCGAAGAGACCAAAACCATTCTCCCTGATAGTGCTAAAGCTAAGCATAGAAGATCTGGTAAGAAGGTTATTTCGTATAAAGATGAGTTGTTGCGTCTGAATGGTGGAGAGGGAAACTCAGAGAGTGAGGAGAATGACTGGAAGGAAATTCAAAGCAGGGAAGAGGAGGAGGATGATTGTGATGAGGATTCGGTTCAAGGTCTTGAGGAGGATCCGTTGTGCCCAGCTCTCAAGTTTTCTAAGAGTGAACACAAGGAGAGTTGCAAACAGTGGAGGAAGGCTCTCATTATTAAGTTGATGCGAAAGAGAATAGGAACTCGATTCTTGATGGCTAGGTTACAAAGGCTTTGGAACTTGGTATCGACTTATGAAATGATAGATTTGGATAACGGGGTACCTTCTTCTGCGGTTCCATGATGATGGGGATTATGTGCATGTGCTGGAGGAGGGCCCCTGGATAGTTGTTGATCACTATGTGGTGGTGCAAAGGTGGCGTCCCTTCTTTGATCCGTATGATGAGGGATTCAAGAAGATGGCTATATGGATTAGAGTCCCTGGGTTGCCGATTGAGTTTTATACAGCTCATTATTTGTGGAAGGTTGGGAACTTATTTGGTCGGACTCTTAAAGTTGATAGGAATTCTCTGAGGAAAAATGAGCTAGGGGATGCAGTTATCACAGAGAGAGCAAAATTCACCAGGATTTGTGTTGAAGTGGATCTCAAGAAGAGTCTGCTATCGAAGTTCAAAATTGGGAACAAGATATATCAGGTGGGATATGAAGGAATTCACTTAATTTGCTTTAAGTGTGGTGTTTATGGGCACAGGAAGGATCAGTGTGGGGATAATTGTTCCCAGAAAAAGAGGAATCAGATGGAGGAGGAGTCTAATGGGCAGAATAATATGGAGGAGAAATCTGGTGGAAGTGCTAAGGAGAATTGCAAGGAAGAGGAAGCTTTTGGGAGTTGGATGGTGGTTCAAAGACCTAACAGGGGAGGGAAACCTAGACCTGTCCTATTGAGTAGGGCTAAGGAGAAGGAGGAAGGTCCTATGGTTGTTCTGACTAAATCTGGGGAAGAGAGGGTGGTAACCAGCATGGAAGAGGGTGAAGGGAGTTATGATAATCAGACAGAGCCTATTATTAAGGAGGCTCAGATTAAAGTGGAAGGTCCGAATAAGACTGAGGATACTAAGAAGGCTGAGACAAAAGTTAGTGGTTCAGAGGAGAAGGGTGGTAGTAGTGGAGCTTATTGTCCTAAAAACATTCCAAAGAATGTTAGGATAGATAATAGTTCCCAGAAGAAAGGTATCCTAAAAGAGAGCAGAAGTAGAGGTGGGCGTAGTGGCAGTAAGATAGGCAAAGAAAGTTCATTTGACTCAAGGAAGGGTGATGTGGAAAACTTACCTCTGAATGCTGCTTTAGGGGGAGCTGATCCAGGGAAGAAACAGAGAGGCAAAGTCAAGGCTATGCCATCTGGAGGGCATGGTAGCTCAGGCGAGGAGATGGTAGCTCAGGTAAAAATCAAAGGTAAAGGGGTTGAGGCCCCTGTTTTGTTGAATTCTTTTGCTCCTATTCAGGAGGATTTGGTTCTGGAAGAACAAGTATCACCCTTGGAGGGTGTTAAGACTATGATTAGTCTTTAATTTTTGAGATGATGATCCCATACTTCCCTAGTAGCTGTTATGTTCATATGCTCTTGGAATTGCAGAAGTGTAGGAAAAAAAGAATTCCATGCCCTTATTAAAGATCTTAAATATAGTTTTAAGCTTAGTGTTTTGGCTTTGTTGGAGACAAAAATAAGTGGAAGTAGGGGTGATAAATTCATAAATAAGGTGGGTTTTTCTAAACACTTTAAGCATGATGCTGTGGGTTTTGCTGGGGGGCATTTGGCTTCTTTGGGATGATAGGAAGACTAAGGTGGAAACTGTTGCTGTACATAATCAGTTTATTTATACAAAAATTCTACATGTGGAGGAGGAAAAGAGTGAATTTGTTACCTTTGTGTATGGGAATCCTAGAAGGCTAGAAAGGCAGTCCTTATGGGAAGAACTGGAACTCATTGCTCATGATGTGGATGGTCCTTGGGTGGTGCTTGGTGACTTCAATTCAGTTCAAAATACTTTTGAAAAGATAGGGGGAAAAGAAGCTTGCTGGAATAGTATGAGGGAGATGAACTTATGCTTGGCTAATTGTGATCTTGAGGACATAGGGTTTAAAGGACCTAATTTTACTTGGAAGAGGGGAAAACTTCAGGAAAAGCTTGATAGATCTTGTGCTAATGAGGCCTGGAACCTAAGCTGGCCGAATAGGTTCATATCTCATCTTCCATTTTTTAGCTCAGATCATAGACCTATTCTGCTGGTTCATGAGCAGGATAATAAAGCTGATGGTAGGGAGAGACCATTTAGATTCCTAGCCTCTTGGATGACTATGGATGGGTTTGAGAAAGTGGTGGAGAACAGCTGGAATTCTCATTATGAGTGGGATTCGGCCAGAAATGAGTTTGAAAGGAGAGCTAAAGATTGCCATCAAAATGTGTATAGACTGAATACTAGAAAGAAGAACTTAATCTATGCTAGACTTCGGGGGATTGATAATTACAGGAAGGGTAGATATGATCATATTATGGAACTTCTTCAGAGGGATCTTTGGAAGGAGCTGCAGGAGATTCTAGTGAGGGAGGAATTGGAATGGTTTCAAAGGTCCAGATGCCATTGGTTGAAGTATGGAGATAAGAACACAAAGTTCTTTCATTCAGCAACTATTTCTAGAAGGAGACATAACAAAGTGGTTGCTTTAAGAAATGAGGATGGGAACTGGGTTACTGATAAGGAGGAGCTCATTAACATGGCCAGGCTTTATTTTATAAAGTTGTTTGCCCCTAATGAAGAGGAGACTGATGAGTTTCCTGTGAAAGGGCTTTTCCCTATTCTTAGTAATAGAGAGAAGAACTTTCTTGCTAAAGTGCCTACATGTGAAGAGATTCGTGGAGTGATTTTTAAAATGGGAAAGTTCAAAGCCCCAGGACCTGATGGGCTGCAGGCTGTATTTTTCCAGAAACATTGGCATTTGGTGGGGGAATCTGTTTGCAGGTTGGTTATTGATATCTTTCTGGATCTTATGAAGGTTAAGGAAATCAATAGATCTTTGATTTGCCTTATTCATAAAAAAGACAGCCCAGATAATATGAAGGAGTTTCGGCCCATAAGCCTTTGCAATGTAGTGTATAAGGTGGTAACTAGAATTATAATAGAAAGGTTGAGAGGCTTTATGCCTAGGGTAGTGGGCCCAAACCAGTGTAGCTTCATCAAAGGGAGACAAAGTGCAAATAACATTATTATAGCCCAAGAGGTTGTGCACTCTATGAAAGAGAATAAAGGGAGGAAGGGGTGGATGATGATCAAGGTGGATTTGGAGAAGGCTTATGATCTCCTTAGTTGGAAATTTATTAAGGAGACCTTGGAGGATGTGGGTCTTCACAAAAGTCTTTCAGATCTGATTTTTAATTGTATATCATCCAGCACAATGAATCTTTTGTGGAATGGTGGTTTAACAGAGGATTTCAATCCTCAAGGAGGGATTAGACAAGGAGATCCTGTTTCTCTATATCTTTTTGTCTTGTGTGTTGAGAGACTGGCTCATCTTATCCAGCTAGCTGTGGATACCAAAGCCTGGAAACCAATCATGATTAATAAAAGTGCCCCTCCTTTATCTCATTTATTTTTTGCAGATGATATCATCCTTTGTGCAGAAGCTTCTCTGGATCAGGCCTTTGTTATTAATCAGGTCCTCAAGTTGTTCTCTGTTGCTTCGAGCCAGAAAGTCAGTGAAGAGAAATCCAGAGTATTCTTTTCCAAGAATGTGGGCTTTAATAGAGCTAAGGAAATCAGTGAGTGTCTGGGTGTGGGAATTACCAATGATCTGGGAAAATATTTGGGAGTTAATCTCAATCATAGAAGAGTGCACAATAGGCTATCCTCTTGGAATCAAGCCTCTCTATCTTTGGCAGGGAGGATCACACTAGCCAAAGCTGTTCTGGAAGCCCTGCCAGCCTATGCAATGCAAACCACTGATGTTCCCATCAGCATTTGTAAAGAGGTGGAGAAGCTAACTAGAGGGTTTATTTGGGGTTCAAGTCCTAATAGCAGGAAGGTTCATTTGGTGAACTGGGAAAATGTTTGCAGGATGAAGGAGGATGGGGGCCTCGGGTTGAGAAATCAGAGGCTGATTAACAAAGCTTATGCCATGAAGATTGGTTATGGGGTAATGTCAAATAATGGTGCTCTATAGGCCAGGATTCTAAGAAGCAAATATAAGGTGGATGCTGGTTTAATTCCCACTTTAAAGGAGGCCAGAATTAAGTCTAATACTTGGGGAGGAGTTTGCAAGAGCTGGAGTCAGGTTCAGAATGGGGTGAGAATTCATACTGGTAATGGGAAGAAAACAAAGTTTTGGTGGGATACTTGGGTCCCTGAAATAGGGAAGCTTATAGATAGAGCTATTGAGCCAGTTCCGGAGGATGCAATTAATTGGTGGGTGGTAGATTGTGTGGATGAAGATGGAGGCTGGAAGTGGTCAAAATTCAGTAAATTCTTGGATGATGAGGTCACTTTGGCTATTTCTAAGGTGAATCCTCCAACTGAGGCAGCTGGGGATGACAATGTGATGTGGATTCACTCCTCCACAGGTATTTTTTCCATTAAATATGCTTATAATTCCTTGAATAGGCCTCTGGATATTGGTGTTAGTAGAAACTGGATGCTGGCTTGGGAATGGGAGGGACCTCAGAGGATTAGAGCCTTCCTTTGGTTACTTGTTGGGGAAAATCTGCTCACTAATGAGCAAAGGTTGAGAAGGAACCTATGTTTGGAGGCTATGTGTATGAGATGTCAGGGGGCTGTGTAGAGTTGCAATCATATTTTTAGGGAATGCAACTGGTCCAGGCATATTTGGCAGCTGTGTTTTGAAGGTAGGGAGATTAATTCTTTTTGGGAAGGGGATTTTAGTAGTTGGATTGAGAGAAATCTGAACAGGAAAAAACAAAATAAAGAATGGAGGAGATGGTTTGGAGTTATTTGCTGGCTAATTTGGAATGAGATAGACAATATGGTTTTCAATGATGAGTGGAAAGCTCCTTCTGAGATTGTGAGTTATGCTTATTCGTATATCCATAGCATAACAGTGGCTGAGAACTTGCTTCTCAAGGCTGGATTGCTTTCTGTGAACAGGTATGATATGAAACTTCAATGGGAAGCTCCCCCTCCCAATTGGATCAAGCTTAACTCTGATGGAGCATGCTCAAAGAAGGGTATTAGGCTTAGTTGTGGAGGAGTTGCTCGAAATTGTCATGGAAATTGGATTTCTGGTTTCTCAAAGAGACTTGGCAGTGGAAATGTGCTGATGTCCGAATTATGGGGAGTGGTAATCAGCTTGGAATAGGCTTGGGTGAAGGGTTATCAGCAGGTGATTGTTGAAATTGATTCTATGGATGCTTATAAATTGATCACCCAAGGTTGTGTGGTCTCACATCCTTGTTATATGCTTATGCTGAGGATTAATGAGATGCTGGGGAAAAGCTGGATGGTGAAGACTGCTCATGTGCACAGAGAATGCAACAGAGTTGCTGATTGGTTGGCCAGCCATGCTCCTAAAGTGGATTGGCATGCTGTTTGGTATAGTGAACCCCCTGAGGGTTGTAGAGGTCTTTTATTTTGTGATATTAGAGAGGATAGTACCCAGGATATTGGGTAGTCTGTTGCTGTTCTGTTTTGTTTAATTTTCTTACTTGTTAAAAAAAAAAAGATAGATAAGCTTTCATTGGTGCTTAAGATATTTAACTCTAAAATAACAATGTTATTTAAACACATTATACGCAATTATTTTTTAAAAAAAAAAAACCTTTAATGAGACGGCGGTATAATTATCACGATGATAATAAGAGAACTTTTATTAAGCATTATAATTTATTTAATTTTTTTATATTTTAATGCAATCCCCGTTCAAGGACAAGGCATTGACGCGACGCCGACAGTAATGTTATGTATACACTTTTGTAGAAGTATAACTGCAAAAGCAATATCCAGATATACACTACGCGCGGCAATTTGGGGCACATTTTATAATGCAATCTTTGTTGAATTGACAGTGACCTGCAATTAAAATAATAAAATTAATATTTATTGAAAGGTACTTTTTTCAGAAATAATTTCAAGTAATTATAGTAAGGAAAAATTTTTTCTTATATTATTGAAAATAAGTTATCTTATTTTACCGAAACAAAATTATAAGTTAAATCCATAATAATTGAAGAGAGAAAAAAATAGAGGTAAGATATATTTTTGTTATGTGTCTATATAAATTTAATTTATCTCATGTAAAATGAGAAAAATATAACCCTAAAGTTTTACTATGACTTCTAATATTCAATTCAAATATAACATATTTCACATCCAGTTATTTATTTGTTGTGCAAAAATTTAAAGTAATTTTTTATGGGATATGTTATTCACTACAAGATAAACGCTACATAGGGGCGGTGTTCTCGAGGCAGTTTGACTACTTAATATTTACTACAATTAAGTAGTAATCACAATAACACCCATTTTCTTCACTAACTTTATAAACTCAAGGTGTTTACATGAGA